AGAGCACTAGCCTTGAGCTGAAGAGCTGAGGGACAGCGCCCAGGCCCAGAGTTCAGGCCCCATGACCAGATCAAAAAAAAAAAAAATACTAGTAGGATTGAATGTAGGACTCCCAGACTCCTGATGTGCATTCAAAATATCATACACACATAGTATTGCTCTTTAAAATTCTTTCAAAATGTGCTTTCAAAAACAACTGATTCATAGATTGGGGGAGTGTCCCTATTTCTGTGTCAAGGGTGCTCTGGATTACAGGAAAGCCATCTCTTACATTCAGGGATTCTTTTCTTGTCTGAAACAACTAGAAAAGTAGAGCTTAACACTGATTTGCTCAGACAGGCCCAGATGGGGTAGGGAAGTCAGCCCAAACCAGGCACAAATATCTGACTCTGAGCACGTGATTCATGCCTGTAATCCTAGCTACTCAGGAGGCTGAGATTTGAGGATCACGGTTCAAAGCCAGCCCAGGCAGGAAAGTCTGTGAAACTCTTATCTCCAATAAACCACTAGAAAACCAGAAGTGGCGCTGTGGCTCAAGTGGTAGAGTGCTTACCTTGAGCTGAAGAGCTGAGGGATAGCACCCAAGCCCAGAGTTCAAGCCCCATGACCAACAACAACAACAACAAAAAAAAAAAAAAAAAATATATATATATATATATATATCACTCTGGCAGCCAGGAGAGAAAGGGGAGAAAAGGAGACCAAAATTCAGCCCCTGGATGGCTTCAGGTGACCAATGTCCAAAGCATCTGGTCCTAGACTTGTGGTGGCCAGTGAGCCCTGGTATCCATTCACCCACAAGTCCAGAAGAGCAGGTCACTGAAGAGGCCCCAGCATCTGAGAAGTGACTGCTTGCTTGTATTTTCCACAGTTTATTCAGCCAGTCCTCCACTGAGCTATCTGGGTATTTTTGCCTTTAAAACTACTACATCATATTCTAATAGGTGATGCTCTATCTCTACCAGTATGTCTCTGGCATGAAAAGGATAATGTAGACCCCATCTCTCTGCATTTTCCTAGTGATGGGAGAGGACTCTGTCTTGTCCTATTGGAGAAAGGTTTTCCCAGCTTCTCTTCTGTTTGTAGCTTCAAGGAATTCTCTGGAATAGAGATAAAATGATTCAAGTAACTTCCATAGGCCAAAGCATTTCTCACAATTTTTAAAAGACTAGTTTGTGAGATCCATTCTCTTCCGTATGGTCATCGATCATATTTCCTAGCTTGGGTTGGCAGAAAGATCTCAGAACTCCTGCCACTTTGTAATCTAAAAAACAAACTTGTTTGCTTGACAGTTTTGCCAAGTAATGATATGTTGACTATCTTCCTCATACAAAGTATCTATGTACTTACTGTTGCTTATTAAATGGTTTCTTATAATAAGAACAACTGTTAAGTCCTATATTTTATACAAATGTAATGTCATCTACCATTTCAAAGCAATAACTTCAAGCTTTTTTGTTTGAGGCTATGTTGGTGTTTCAAGGTAACCTAAGCCTCTAACTCTCAATCCTTCCTCAGCATCCTTAATGCTGAGATTGCAGGCATATGCTACCCTGCCCATTTAAACTTCACTTTTAATGTTTAGTTTGTTACGTATGTCTTCATCATCCTGCAGTGGTTCATCCTGAGGCCTTTCACTTTTTTCTTATTTATTGAATTGTCAGAAATAAACTTTTTTCACAACTGTGTTAAAAATATTTTATTTTTAATGGAAGCACCTTAGAACTTCAGCATTTTTATTTAAATTTATTATAATTTGTGATTAAAATAAAGATCAAAGTTATTCACAATATCCTATGGAATTCACATTAATTAATCTGTTTTCTTTTCCTATTTATATTTCCTTTTATGTGATACATTCTTAAAACTATCAGAAAAACTCATGAAAATAGTTTCATATTTTAAAGAAAACTTTATCCAGTTTTAAATTATTTTTGTTTTTATTTTTATTTTTGTTTATCGTGGGGCTTGAACTTAAGGCCTGGGTGCTGCCCCAGAGATTTCTTTCACTCAAGACTAGTGTTCTCTACTCTGAGCCACATCACCACTTCTGGTTTTCTGGTGATTAGCTGGAGATAAGACTCTCACGGACTTTCCTGCCCACACTAGCTTTGAACCATGATCCTCAGATCTCAGCAACCTGAGTAGCCAGGATTACAGGTGTGAGCCACAAGCACCCAGCTTCATAATTATTGTTAAGTCTTTAGAGTTGTAATACAATGAGACACTTTTAAAGGTAACTCTTCTTATTTTAGTATTCCAGAACTTCAGATGGTCTGAACATTTCTCTGATACTGTACTGAAAGGTGAAAAGTATTTGCGCACAACCTCTTAGGTGTGTTTTAAAGTAGCAGGTGGGCATAAGTAAATTTTCTTGACATTCATTTTGAGCAGTTTGTAATGGAATATGTATTAAAAGAGTATATTTCAACCTAGCATGTAGTTCATGTCTGTAATCCTAGCACTTTAGAGGCAAAAGCAGCTGGATTATTAGTTTGAAACTAGATTGGTTTACATAGTGAGACCCCCATCTCACAAAAAAAGTCAACAAACAACAACAAAGGTATTTCAGGTACTCTTGAGCTCATTCATTCAAAACAAGCATCATTTTCTCAGTCTCTTAGCTGAAATAGCTTTCCTCAGAAGCCTCTGCATAGCTCCTATTACCTCCTTGTTTCTTAGGGTGTAGATGAATGGGTTGGCCATGGGAGTAATGACACAGTAAAACAGGGTCAAGACCTTGATAACATCTTGAGGACCGTCCCCAGAAGGCTGCATGTAGATGTAGATTCCAGGCCCATAAAACAAAGACACCACCAGTAAATGTGATGAGCAAGTATTGAAGGCTTTAAGTCTCCCAGCAGCAGAAGGGATTCGAAACACAGTCCGGGCAATGTAACTGTAAGACACAAGAATCATGGAGAGGGGTCCCATGATCAGGAATGTGGCCACCACTGCTAAGGTAATCTCATTGATAGTGGTGTCCCCACAAGCCATCTTAATAAGACCAGGCAGCTCACAAAAGAAGTGATCCAGCACCCGATTCCCACACAGGGGCAGTTGGACTGTGAGGGTGGACTGAAGCAGGGAATTGGCCAAACCGATGAGCCAAGCAGTGCTGGACAGTTGCAGACACAGCTTCTGGTCCATGATTACAGAGTACCTTAGAGGCTTACACACAGCCACATAGCGATCTAAGGCCATGATGCCAAGCAGGACACATTCAGTACAGCCTAGCCAATGAAATACATAGGCCTGGGCCATGCAGCCTATGTAAGTGATCTTTTTGTTGGGCCCTCCTAAGTTAAACAGCATTTGAGGTACTGTTGTGGTGGTGAAACAGAGATCCAAAAAGGAAAGGCTGGTAAGGAAGAAATACATGGGACTTTGGAGCTGAGAATCGAGTTGAGAGACCAGGATGATAGCAAAGTTTCCCAACAATGTGAACATGTATGACGTCAGGAGGACAAAGAAGAGAGGAAGATCCAGCCATGGATATTTGGTCAAGCCCAGGAGAAGGAAATCCTCTGGAAAACTTGCATTCATGGGCTTCATTAAATTTTGAAAGGAGGAACCTGCTAAAATCAAGATGGGAAAGAAGGATGATTTTTAAGTCCTGAAATGGAAGAAATTCTGAAACACTAGGGGAAAAAAACACTTTTATGGGAGAGAGGTGGTGAATATCCTCAGTAAAAGTCACAAGAACAGTGACTAGAATAATTTTTATATTAACATTATAAACATCTGACAAAGGCTTTAGTAGAAAAAGAATGGTTTCACACTTTTTTTGTTAAGAAAAGGCTGTGGCTTTATTGTGTCATGAGACATGTAAAACAATCTCTATGTGGTTAGGTAGCTATATTTTCCTTCACTTCTTTGAGGTACAGGGTTTTGGGGGGGTTTAATAAGGGATATACTAGTACCTTTCTAGTGCATATACTGTTTCCACATAAACTTATTTTCAAAGCAACTTCTTTAATCTAGCATCCAAACACCTTGCACAGTACCTTTGGGAAGCAATGTACCACGCCCACTCCTATGATGGTCCTGTTCATTTGTATATCATATTTAGAGCATCCATCGGAATGAGATAGTATCAGGAAGAGAAGGGAGGGGAAAGAAGTAACTGCCCCAAAGAATGTCAGATGAAGTTGGGCAGAACAAGCCCAAGCATGTCATTGGTGCAAATCCAAGTGTCATTGATATTCTTTCATAGGAGCAGGTGGGTGAACTCCATAATGAGGGGTCTTCAACAGCCTTGATCAGGCCCACTGATGCTGAGGACACAACTGTCTGATGGAGGTTGATGGTTTTGTTGACACAAACTGAAATAGTAATGTGAGGTACTAGAAAAATGAATGCAATAAACGGGGCACTCATTAAGACAGTTTGGAATTGATTACTTAAGCAAAGAAGACCCGATATAAAGGTACAGATTTAAGTTTGGCCTATAAGGAATCTCTTGAGGACCCATTCACCTGAAGGTTGATTCCTGCCTCTATCAGAAACATCTGGGTCAATTTGACCAGCTACTCATTTGCAAAATCATGAACTACCTGAACCCATAGCTAGGACAGTTTGTTTTCGCCATTTTAACCAGCAGAGGTAGGAGATGGTAAACAAATACAAGCATGGAATATGTCTCCAAAAACAAAGAAAACAAGCTATGGTTGAAAGTCAATGTGTTTCCATAGAAATTCACAGAAGAAAAGAGCAGCTCAAGATCTTGCCCTGACAGAAATTTTCCCCAATCATTTGATGTTTGGGAATTTTCTTTTTTTCTCTCTTTCTTTTTTTTTAAATAAGTTTTTTATTGTGAAAATACTGTACAGAGGGGTTATAACCACATGAGCAAGGTAATGAGTACTTTTCTTATCAAGCATTGTTGCCTCCTCCTTTGTTTTTCCCCTACCATCCCTTCCCTCCCGCCTCCGTTTGGGAATTTTCTATATTGTTTGATCCTCAATTTGATCTTCAGAGTACTTGGCTTTTAAAGAAATTTTGTTTGGTCATATGATGGGCACACTCACTCCTTCCTTTCTCTCCTAGTCAACTGATCTTTGGACAGAATTCTGAGACTGAGATGAACACGTGGTGGTCATTTGTTTAGCATAGTGAGAATTCACTTAGCTCATTGAAGTATCTTAGCTTCCTTGATCCTCTATGACTCAGAAATCTTATTTTCCTCTCAAACGCTAATAAAACCAAATAAAACCCAAGGATATTGAAGCTGATATTGATGGAAAGAGACATAGCTATTAGCACGTACCTTTTATCATATGGATATATATTAAGCAGATGTGGTCAGCTATGGCAGCATAGTCAGGACAAAGTTTATAGAAGCAGCAGATTCTAAAAGTCTCAAGTCAGAGGGGAACAGAGCTGACCACATTAAGGCTCCAATAAAAGCCTCCAAAAGTCTTGGTGTAGTAGATTGAATGAATTCTGGAGGCAGAAAATGCTTTCTCTTCATTCCAGATCTGATCCAAAAGCAGATTAAAAACCAGTTTCACCCAACAGACCAGAGATCCCACAGAGACTTTAATGGGTAAACAAATCTCCCCAGGGAAACAGCATCCATTGTATATCTACCAGTTTGGTAATGATTATAGATTACATCAGTGTCTCCATTCATTAATCTCATTTTAATAGCAAGGGAGATAGGGATTTCCCCCACCAATTTTTAAAAATCATTACTGTTGTTGTTAATAACATTAATAATAATTACTTCATTTCATGCTCTTAACAACTCCTTGAGGAAGATACAATTGCTGCTCTCATTTATAGCTGAGGAACTTGAAGCTTAAAGTTACTAAGTGATTTGTCCAAAGTTAACAAATAGTAAGAAAGAAAAAGAGAAAAAAGAAAGAGAGAAGGAAGGAGGGAGAGAAGGAAGAAGGAAAACAATGGGTTCCAGAAACAGACGACTTATATTTGAAACTAAAATTTGCCCTTTTTGAGTAATAGTGCAGTGAACATCATTAAATCTATTTTCTCATCTTCAAAGAGATCATTAGAATATTTATGTGACAAGATGGTTGGTTAAATGAGTTTATGTCTGAAAAGACCAGGGATAATGGTAGACTTCCAGTAAATAACACTTCCTTTCCCTGTGATAAAGGGTAAATGACTGTTTACAAGGGTTGATAGCTGGGTGGGCCTGATTTTTAATTCATCTCTGTGTAATATTTGAACCCAGTGTTACAAATGTGATTCACTTGCTTCAAACTCATTTGGAATGCTTATTAAAATGCATGTTTCTGGGACACTGACCAAACAAGAAGTAAAATCTCTGAGGATGAGTCCCAAGAAATATTTTAACTAGATCCTTAGGTGATTCAAAGGCACACTTGTGTGGAGAACCACTGATTTGTTATGTTCTTTTTAAAAATTGTAGAACTAAAGTTTAAATGCCAGTGGAGCTAATTTATTTATTTCCTCAAATACTAAAGCCTTCCTTGAAAACTTAAAGTATATAAGCAAATATGAATGATCATTGCTGTAACACAATCTAAAAATATTTGGAAAATATTGTAAAACAGATAACATAATCCTAAATTCCTTAGACTAATAAATTAAATCAGAATTCAGAAAAAGTCTTAAGCATTGGAAGCATTTTGTTTCCAATGAGAAACAAGAGAAGATGAGTAAGAACTGTAGTAAAGTTAAAACAAAATTATGACAAGAAAGTTCTGGAAAGTTCTGGAAAGACAAAGGATACTCACCTGCGCAAAGCTAGAGAATCATGAGTGATAAAGTAGACTGACTAGAGAAACTCTAGAAAGTCATGCTGAAAAACTTAAAGACCCTTTAAGGCTGCAGCAAAAGTAAACTTGAAGGTCTACTCACTATTAGAAGATGTTATCAAATGTTGCTGTATTCGCATGGAGATTATAATCATGCTGTGATTTCTTCTCATATAAGAGAGAGGAAACCAAAATACATCAGAAGGGCAGAGAGAAATCCCTCATAGCACACACTCTTCATTTTTCTTTGATTTTTCTCCATAGACTTTATCACAATCTGACATTTTATTTTTTTAATTATCTTTCTCTTTCTAGATTGTAAGTCCCATGAGGGGGAATGGAGACTTGGCCTTTATTTATTTGAATAGTTCTACCCCTGGCACGTGGAACTGTACAGTGGTTGGGTGCATAGAAAGAAGTCAATAAATAATGTCAAATTATGGTCAGAATAGTGGAAGATAGGAACATATGAAATGAAATCAATCAACCAAAGATCAGTGCTTAACTTAAAAAACCAATTCTTTCCATTTTCTCTATACCTTCAAAACCTAGGTCTCAACCCCAGTGAGAGGTCATCAACAAATACAGCTTTTGATCTACTGTCATTTTGAGGAGTGCCTAGTTCATTTCATCATTTCTGACTATTCTTTACCATCTCCAAAGGCAAGCGTGACCTTGCACATCGATGCTCTACATTTTACTACTTTGTACTTTTCATTTATACAGATTCTTGAAATCAGCTACAGAACAGGACTTTACTTAATACCTATTTATACCACCACTGTAAAGAGAGGGAAAACAAGGCCCCACTGGGAGTCGAACCCAGGATCTCCTGTTTACAAGACAGGTGCTTTAACCAACTAAGCCATGGAGCCCACCGGCTGCTTCGGCTCGATATACTGTACCTTGGACGTTAAATACTCCTGATCCAAAGTTTCTACGATTTATGTAATTTACCATAAGAAAACAGACTCCACAAAGTGATTTTACTTGGCTAGACTCATTGCGGAGCAAACACAAGCAGGAAGGTTCCCCGCTGCTTAAATATTACAGCCAAAAACGCTACAATTCATCCAAGGATACTCATCCAGTGAGAGCTGAGACTATCCATTTTTTTCTGAACGACATAGTCTTCTAAAGCGCACACTTCCCTTGTCGTTTTAAACTTGGATTCTGCGTTTGAAGGGTTGATGGGGATCTCGGAGGAAGGAACTCCAGGGAGACTCGAATGCTGAGGTTGGGTACTTGGCATCTCACCTGCGCTGGGACTGTGGCGGGAGCATCCGCGCGTCTCTGGGTTCATTTTTCTCCAGTCCTCATCTCACGCTCACTCAGATCCAGTAGGTTATCTTATTTTATCTCCGTGGGCAGCCTGGATAAGACCTCGGGATCTTTTTAAACATTAACTGTGCGTTAGAAAAGGTTAGGGAATCTACACTGATTTATAATTACAAAGTTCGAGGTGAGGATCAGTGGTCACCTTCATGTTTAAAAATTTGTTTGTATTTTTTGTTTATTTATGGGGGACGGGGAAGGGTCCTGGGACAGCCCTCTGTGTCTGTTCTATACCACTTGAGCCACAGCTCCACTTCCGGCCTTTTAAAACGTTTTATCAGGATGTCTTCTGATACTAAATTTCAAGTAAACATAAATTTACAAAGAATGGAAACGCACAAGCGTAAGTATCAGTAAGACAAAGTGTTTCATACAACGTTGGTGGTGAAAACTATTTTTCCAAAAGAATAAAAGATTGCTGTAATTCACTACATGGGAAAAAAAAAAGTTGTATTCCCATCCCCTC